CTTTTGCTTTCGAAGCAGCAAATTGGCCCGCTTGAGGGCCCGTCACAGTATATAGAGACCTTGACCGAGAATTCGCTGGCCTCGGTCCTCGCTTGCTAAAGCTGAGTTCGGACGTTTGGGTTGCAAGCGGACTACGGATCGCCTCGTCGGTCGGTGTCGCAAACGCGTCGATCGATCCGGCCTGGCAGCTAGGGTGGCACGCGCGCAGAAGGAGCCAGAGAGGTCTATTCACTCGCAGGAAATCACGAACGACACTCGTCCATACGCTGCTCGACAGTTTGCATGCTAGCCAAACGACGATCCATCGCTATGTACAGTACAGTACAGTACGTGAAGGCTGGTTGGTGATTGGACATTGGCATTTGAAATCGGGCGGATGCTAATGGCAAATATTCCGCTAGACTGATGAGACTCAGAGACTAGCGTCTTGCTGTGAGAACTTTGTGAAACGCCTGCTTGCACACAACGTCAGCATCTGCTAGCAGCATCACATGCAGGCAGGCAGGCAGCATGGATCCGAAGCAAGCGCGGGAGAGCGAGCAAACTGTGGATTTCATCGGTCCGCGCGGCAAGCGTGCAGAAGCCAAGAAGGCGAGCAGTAGCAGCAGCGGCAACGGCAGCGGCAGGCACTCTGACAGACCCCTTCGCTCATCAGGCAGACTTCAGCAAACTTCAGCAAGGCACAAGTCGCTGCAAGCGCCGACGACATGCACACAGCAGGCCTCTTTTTTTCGTGCCCAGGTCACGACGTTGAGGTGGGGTAAAACTGAGAACCGGCCAGCAGAAGCGCGGGGGAGGCGTCAAGGCGCGCGCATTCATGACGAAGGTGCATGCAGCAGCGCGCATGATGTGAAGTCTGCATGAGTATACACGCGCGTGCGGCCGCGCCTGGTATAAATGCTGCTGCTTTTGCGATCGAAGGCAGCAAAGCACAGGTTCAAGCTCCGACTGAATGAGGCTTTCAACTCGCGTCACCTGCAGCAGCAAGCCAAAATGGTTGGGCAGGTACTGCACGCGTGAGTGATGGTATGGGGACAGCATCCAAGTTGGAAGAGCAATTAAGCACCAGCGCGCATTGGAAGCCCTGTCGAACCAAGTGCAGGCGCACCTGTCATGAAGCCCCGCCATGCATGCAAGTTGCCCCAGGCTTTGAGGCCGTCTTTGCATATCTTTCTGCGTGGCCGCAGAAGGACACAAGCCACGAGTCACCAAGCAGTGAGCAACCACCACGAGGTCCGACACACAAAGCACACCTTCACCCTTGCCGAAAAACATTCTAGCCGCTCCCTCCTCGCAATCTTGATGACCCTTCGTGCAGCCAGCCAGCCAGC